TGACAACAATGTGTGAGCAAAACAAACAGACATAATAGGTAAAAACGTCAAAAATTGGGGTACAGCAGTCAACATTGCAATATAATCTTAATCACTATAACACAAATAACTGTTCAACAAAGACACACAAAATGGCATATAGACAAAGTACATAAGCAAAAAAGAAAGACAAGAACTCAAAATTGACCATAGCATTTTTCACCTAAATCCAATATGTATATCAAAAACAAAGAAAGTGTCCGACTTTTAATAAAAATTGTATTGAGAAAAGACATACATTGTATTTGTTTGTAATACACAAAGGTTTAAACAAGTACAAAGTCTCATTGATTAATCTTCAGATCATGATATATATATATATAATAATAATAAAAAAACGTATTAAACCGTTTTCGTTTTGCATGATACACGATTATGTGGCTCATAGTATCTTATAAACATACTAAAGCTAATCCATTGTGTCTCAAATTGAATTTATTTCACAATTAGACAATTTAAATAACTTAAATAATTTAAATTTAAATAACAACTTAATTCTACAATTTTATTTAATTAGATATGTATGCAAATGATGCCTGAAAGAAACAGTTCTTACCAATTTGACGTTTCAGAATCTAATGCATTTTGGGTAATATTTTTAAAAGTGTTCACCAAAGCGTCGTGATTGGTTGAAAACGTCCTAAACAATTGAAACTCAACCAATGACGTGACGTTATTTTCATTCTGGGGTACGAACAACAAAATGACCTATAGTCCATTAGATTCTGAAACGGTAAATTTTAAGTATCTCCCTGCATTATATCTTACCTGCAGCATAATTCAGCGGACAGAAATCAAAGACCGCCTTCATCATGTTCATATATACTACCATCATTTATTGTTGATTATTATTAAACACATGGACAATATTTGCAAAAAAACAAACGTACAAGAAATGCCATATATCTTAATTCGTATCCACTAAGATAAAATCAAGTACCTAGATACTTATGTTAATGTCAAGACACAGTACATGGATGATGTCACAAATAATTTTTTTTATAAAATTATGCTAGCAAAATCATTAGGTTAACTTTGAAATGAAAGTCGAAAGAAATATACATTTATCAACGAAAAAAAAACTCTTTCCAAATAGATGTACATTTGTATACAAACCACAAAAAATAGGATGAAACTGTTCTTAAAATTATATGAAAATGACCACATCTCCAAAACAAAAGCACACAGAAAAATAATATTTTGCTCATACATATATTTCTATTTGATTAATTCTAAAGAATGATAGTACCATTACCTTCGTGTTTTATTTATTATCCAATCCGTTACCGTTATTGTAGTGACAAACTATGTTTAACGGCTTTTCAACGTGAAGACGTTACACTTATTATGACGGTTTATGGTATTTATCACCTATAACCACTACGAAAGATGTATTTCAAAAAACCACACAATATCTTATTTAGAATCAATGGAAATAAAAGATTATCTTGCAATTTGATTACCTCCATTACAGATATGTTATTTTTTCACAAACTGCTTGATAGAAGAATTACGTATTGACATTTCACTTGGAAACTCAACCTATATTACCCTCGACACTGACCAAGAAATAAAATCATGAATAGTCATAAACCTGCTCTTTGTTGCTTTGTAATATGACCCAAACATGAAGAATTGGTTCTTTCTTCACTGTTTTGGATACCTCAATCACATAAGTGTTCTTAGAAACAACATACTAATACAAGAGGAAATATACTCTATGAGTTGGAGTTCCTTCAGACACTTATGAAAAAGTAGAAGATAAAAAAACCAGATCATTTAATTTTACATTAAGATATATTGATGATGTTCTTTCAATTAACAATCCAAAATTTTCTGATTGGATTCCAATAATATATCCTCCAGAACTAGAAATTAAAGAAACAACAGACACGGCTTCCTCCGTCTACTTTATAGACTTATACCTCGAATTTGACATAATTGGTCATATCAGTGCTAGAATCTATGACAAACGAGACGATTTTAGTTTTGAAATTATAATTTTCCCCACCCACCTTAGCAGCAATATACCAACTTTACCTGTATATGGGATATACATCTCCCAACTCATACGGTATTCAAGACCTAATAGCTGCTACTCAGACTTTACAAAACCATACCAGTGCCTGAGCAGAAAGTTGATGAAACAGAGTTATGTCAAAGAACGTTTCGTACCTTTTTCTCAAAAAAGGTTCATCAGAAGATACCAAGACCTTGCTGATAAATATTCCGTATCAACTTCACAAATTAAACATAATGTTATTGAAGTATAAATTCTAGGTACTGACGTTGTTTTTCATCTTAATTACGTGTTATATTGTTCTTTTTATTTGTCTTTGTATATCTAAACCTTTACTGTTTAGTCCATTCTTGGTATATACTTTTGGCGTAGCTAGGTATTTATTCATTCCGCCATTGTATTATTGTGCTATGTTTATTTTTGTGGCCTTCAGCTGTTGTCTGCTCTTTAATCGGGTTGTTGTCTCTTTGACACATTCCCCATTTCCATTCTCAATTTTATTAGCTAGCTATAAAACCAGTTTTAATCCACTATTTTCTACCTAAGGAAATGCCTTATATAAACTCTTCATAGATACCAGGATTGAAATTTTGTATTTACGCCAGACGCGCGTTTCGTCTACAAAAGACTCATCAGTGACGCTCGAATCAAAAAAGGTTAAAAAGGCCTAATAAAGTACGAAGTTGAAGAGCATTGAGGACCAAAAATTGTTTTGCCAAATACAGCTAAGGTATAAGTCAGGAATATGACAGTTTTTTTCCATTAGTTTGATTTGTTTAAGCATTTGATTTTGCCATTTGTGAAAGGACTTTCTGTTTGGAATTTTCCTTGGAGTTCGGTATTTTTGTTATTTTACTTTTTTCCATATGCCAAAATGCAAACTGACTCTAAACCAGACAAAACTGGTTGCTGTCCATGCGAAACATGATACATTTATAGTGATATATACGCATTTTAACGAACGTTTAACTATTAGTATCAAAGGTGTTTAGCGTAACAAAAACGTAAATGTTATAATAAAAAAATATAATACACAACTCATAGTTTATAGACACTATTAACCAATTAGAATGGCTTATTGTGCTTTGATTATGATCAAAAGTGAATATATATTTCTAAGCTATGAAAATGAGAGAATATTTCAGTAAAATATTTCATCTCGAATTCTTTTAATTGAAAACAAATGAAACACATTTAACACGTTGAATTGATTGTTTGTGCACTTTTCATCATGTAATTTAACAAAAATACGCAATATGACTCAGCTTGAGTGTAACATTTGGGAATACATGTAAAGTACACTGCATTTGTTTAATGATTAAATAGAAATTATCAAGGAAGAAGCATTTTATTGTTGTGAGTCGTAATCATTTTGAACATTATTCAGTTAAATTCTTGCATTAAAGGCATAGTCACACGAGTGTACCATTACTTTGTTAGATAGAGCTATTTTAACATGTTTTGTTGCGTTTATTGTTACATTAAAGAAACGAATATTCCTGAGGTATTACTATCTATATGTGAAAAATGAATAAATTTATCGTTTATAGGTTAAGGGATTTTAAACAGCAAATAATATAATATTGGTCAAGAATATGTCTTCTAATGAATCTTTTGCATTTGCCCATATAACCCCATCTGCAAATAGGAATCATTTTGCTTTTCTTTGCTTGGATAACACATTGAATGTTGCCAATATCAGGAAATAAATAATTTACCATTTTTGAAAAGAGGTAATACAATTGCTTTAAGGAATATGCAAGGTATATATAGTAAAATGTGGGTTTTCGATTATCTGACATAAAGCAACGTCGGAAAAAAACAAAAAAAAAAACAAATCTCGGACAAAAAACACCGTATCAAACGTCAAAAAAGCAAAACTCATGATTTTTTTTATATAATGATCTCGCTTGGTTTGGTATTGTATTTTGATGGTATATGAGGTTCTTTTTATAAATACACCCATGGCAAAATCATGTTTAAATGTGACAGTAAAGCAACATGCTATCCCCATTATTTGCGGGTATTTTGATTGGTAAATAGTTTGTGCCAAATAACCATTGAACATTTAATTTTAAAATTCTCCAGATTTCAGTTTTGTATTAATTAATATTTGTTTGTATTATTTTCAGATATCCGCCTTGGGACTGTTACTTTGGTCTTTAAGTATCCGTAATTGTTGTTTGAAATGTTACAGGGTATAAACTACAATTGATATTGTGGAACTAATGAAAATTTTTCATTTTATCATTTAACAAAAGAGGAAGAAATTGCAAGAAGGACGCATATACCTTACAAGTCGAAGGCAATGTGACAAATAGAAAAAAAAACTATGAACACTACAAATAACACTAATGAATAAAAAAAAACACTAACTCATCAAAAACCAAAAGTTATCTCAAGTGCTCCAGAAGGGTAAGAAGATCCTGCTCCACATGCCAAATCAGGCGTGTCACTCCTATAAAATACATTGATCAGTAATAAGTCACTAGGCATCACGTTTACGTTGTAAGATATATAATATATGGTCATTGATTTAATTTAATTTAATTATAATGTATTGATGTACATGGTAGAAAATCCGGTTTATTTCAATTAAACTTTGAGATTGTAGAGAAATACAGGTTCATTACCATTCTTTTCATCAATTTCAAAAATGATGTTATGCATACCCCTCTATATCAACACACACACACACAAACATATAACCTTTTAAAAATAACTATCATGTTATTTGCAATTAAAATACGAATATAAATGGTATTTACATATCTGCAAATGATGTATTGGAAAAAATGTACAGGTAAAAATATGAATATAAATTTCATGTACACCTTTTCCCCTACAATCAATATCCCCATCATTATATGCGTTCAGTAAATTTATAAACGGGTGTTCATCGATCCACTCTATTTATTTCTCTTTCAATTTAAATCCGTAAGGTTTACCTTTGATGCACACCAATGCACAAAGTAGATTTACATTTCTTAAAGGGAGAACAATCAAGACTATATTTGTCAATGTTAGCAACAGTCATTATTTATTGAAGTATAATAATGTGAGTATATTATTTCAAAATATGAAATTATTGATACCGTATGCTTAATGTTTTTGTATATGAAATTGAGGTATGATTTCGCAAACAATGCAGACATTTTATATAAATACAATGTGGAAGAAGGAAGATAATTAGTACCAATCAACTGATGTAGTAAATATATTCTTAGCCCACATTATAAACAATTGATGAGTGCAAAAATCACAGGGTAGAATGGAAAAACGATGAAATATTGATTATATGCCTGCCATCGAGTACTCATAAGAAAGAATAATGTTTATCATTTGAAAAAACATATTACGTATAAAATTGTTGAAGCGATACATTCGTTTATGGGTATAATAGTGGTCTATTCCTTTTAATTGATTATTCAACTAAAACATATATGAAAACACATTAGTAGTGCTGGCAAGATTTTGTGAGATCGCCGAATATGGACTTAAAATGATCAAATTGGTTTTTAATGTACAAAAATATGCTGATCGGTCATATTTATAGCTCTTTAATTCACTGCTTTCGTTTAGGTTAAATTGGATTTATTACAGCTTAATACAACTGAAAAATGTTATTTTCTGTTGAGATACACTTGCTTTAACCTTGCACAGACGTTCGTGAATTGAAATTTCAATGTTTCTCTTCAAATAATTACTTTTAAAAAAATGAAAATTTCTGAAAAAGTCACAACAGGACAGGCAAATCCAACCTTTTATACATTTTGTTTCATTGATAAAATAACTGGAATTCGTTTAGCGTCAGTTGAATTGTCAATTTAATTATTGTGCATGTGTGTAAAGAAATGCAAATTAACCTCTTTTCATCTTATAAGTTTTTTATGTCAGGATATAATCATATTATAAAGGCTAAATTATTCGTATCAGGATCTTCATACCAATCAATTTTTAGGTATTAGACCATAGATTTATTATATTTATATAAACAATCAATAATACTCTTTATTTTAAGAAGGAGAAAAAAAAAACTAAAAACGAATCATAACTAAAGTTATATACCAACAATCAAGATCAATTTTATGCTTTGTTAAGGAATGATTAACTTCAGATTTAGAGTTGCCATCCCTGTTTCTATTAACAATTAGCGTTAAATAATTAAATTTCAAGGTCTGAATTAATACTCGGATGACAAATAACATCAGGTAAATAGGTAAAGGTGGAGCAATAATAACGTGATCCAATGGTTTTCCGCAAGATTTAAAAACAATGACCAACCCATATCAAAATAACTGTTAAGGGTAACTTCAGTTGGAAGAATATGATTGTTTTTTTAGACAATTTCTTATAATCACTTCAAGACAATAATCACCTAACGTTTTGCTAGAATTACATACCCCTGTATATCTGTATCGACATAATTTTTCAAACCCTCATAAGCGTATCTAAAGTAATATAAAAGTTTGGGGGCACAATAATACAACATATTTTATATGAACAGAAAATACGCCTTAATAAATCGTTAATCATAACATATAATGCACATATCAAATACATAACAATTTTAAAACGATCCTTTTTATGAACTTCATTTGTCTTTAAACCCTATTAGCGATTAGTTGTAGTTAAATTCATAGTTTCTTTGCACAAGCGTTCGCGTTTTGACGATCATCATCCAAGTATATATAGCTTAATGTTTTTATTGCACCCTAGGTATCTTATTATTTTTCAAATATTTGCAGTGTCAGAGAAAGCACTGTGCAAATTTAACAAATTTTTAAGTTTATTTTTATTCTGAAATTAATGGTTCATGTTCATTTTCTTTTCGCGATGGACATTCACAATACACTGATTGAAAAGATTTTTAAGCAGATTGAACCACTATCATGACTATGGACAGTTAAAGTAAGGCATAAAACTGTAAAGAAAAACATGACATGTATAATTCTAAACTTTCTATTACCCTTGTTTACCTTTTTTGGACGTGTATCAACATACACAATGAATTTAATGGTCAAATCCTCATTTGAAAGAAAGCTTGATGTATGTTGCTTTATTTATATTAAATTACAAATATTTCGGTTATTACGAAAATATATATGAGTTTTCATATCAACGTTTTGTAAAGTTGATGATTATAAACATCTGTTTTGGTTATATTCAAAAATGATACTGCGTAACTCTTGAAAAACGAAACAATTCATAATTCATAAAAGTTCTGAGTCGATTTACATCTGTTTACTACAACAACAAAAACGCCACGATAATAATTATCCTTTGAAATTGAAAATTAAATCTTAAGATGCAAACCTTTTGATTGGATTTTCTTTTGATTTGTTAAAACGCCTGCTTTAAGTTTAAGAAGTGAAACATAACATGAATAAAGCGACATAAATTTCGGTATTAATCACTATCATATTATGTTTTTTGTTTTTTCATCGTGTATGTGCTGCGTCATTGAAATTTATCTCAAATCACCTCGATTTGTATCAAGAAAAATTTAAAAAAAATTACAGTAAACCGACTGTAGAACTAAAGGCAAATCAGTATACATGTCTACAATAAAAGGGATTTTGGAAGTGTACTTGGAGTACGGAGACGTCGTTCAGTATTCTTAAATTAAGAGTATGTCAATCCTCATAAGGAATTACAGGCTCATAATGTGGTATGTATTTTGTCTCAATAAGACATAAATTGACCATTGATTCAAAACTTAAGGTTAAATCAATTTCAAAGTTTGGAAGCTTTACAAATGGCATGAAATCCACAAGTACCAAGATCAGATGGGTCAACATCAGATAGGTCAACATCAGATGGGTCAACAGGGTAATCGACTCCTGCTATGCATGTATCACCCCATGTGAGTTAATACACCCAGTCAAAATGTCACAATCTGGATCCAATTTAAAAACATCTGTAAAAATACAGTTCAGACAAGAATACTGATATTTGTAAAAATTTATGAGCGCAAAAACATGTAGCTAGTCAGTTGAAACACCAACACATGGTATTTTTAATAAGCTTTGGATTTTCATATATTTTGACATCGAGCATCACTGAAGAGACAGTTATTGTCAAAATACGCATCTGGTGCAGAAAAATTGGTACCGTTAATGTTATAATATGAAGCGTAACACATTAAATGAGACATGTATACGCCATTAGATGGGACCGATGGTATATTACTAAAATGGGAAGTTGACAATTGTAAAGTTGAAATTATCTCATTTGTAATAGATTCTAGTTTGAAGTCATCCGTCAGTCTCAATATCGAAAAAAAAATCAAGATATGAAGCAAACATTCTACTTTCCATAGAATCCTTAATTTCAATTTCACTGGTTTTTATGAGATGTAAAGCACTTATCATAATGTGGGTTATTGAGTGACAGAACATCATCAGTATATCTAGGGGTGATATTAAAGAACTTCTTTTTGTTTCTATTTAAATTAACTTCAAATGAGTTCAAAAACAAGTCGAACAGTAGTCTCATAGTAAATACCCATTGAAAAGATGGAAACCGATTGTTAACTCAAATATCATCGATCAAACTCATCACATTTGTTGTCGATAAACAAAAATATAAAAATGTTTTTCTATAGAATATTGAATTTATTTTACACCAAACAACAGAGGTACAGTTCTAAAAACTTTGAATGAATTTTGAGCTATAACCTAAACTGTCATAAACTGATTGGAATTTTGTGTAGCACAATTATTAATCATAATATTTTAAGATTCGACAAGACATATAAAACATAACTGCATAACCATAGTCTTTTAAAAAAATCAATACCAAACAAGAAAAGTTTTGCTTTGGGAATATTACATTTGAAAATAAGTGTTGAACTGAGACGATCATTTTAATATAAACTGAAGTATACCGCTAGGGAAGTGGCTGATCGCACGACAAAAGACGGAACACTTTTGATTTTAAGTGAAAGGAAGTGTCAGCACACCAAGAAAAGAGCAAACGAATATTTAATCTGTATTAACAACAATAGGTCGTATGCTTTCAACAATGAATATTTAGTTATCAAAAAGTCGATTTTGACAAACTTTAAAATAATTCAAACTAGAAAACTAACAAAACAAAACAAAACAATTAACGGAAAACAATATCACAGACCGGAACTAACAACAACCGTTTTCAACATAGAAATCATGACTATTAATGTCTTACAAGTTTGGATGCATACAATTTAAATTAAATTCATAACAAATACCAAAATCTCACACCAAGTAGCCCAAAATACTATTTAACTATCTCAACTACAGTTACCAATCAAATGTAGTTTCATTGGTGTGAAATTTTTGTGTTTCAGAGGAATTGAGGACAATTGATATGAACGGAATTTGTTGATTTCTTACTCAACCATGAAAATAGATTATTTATATCTTTAAGGTTAGTCCACTGTATAAATTAAAAAGCATCTCCTTCTCAAAATATTTCAATAAAAAAATCAAATGGTGATGAAATAATGTATAACCTGATACAAGCAGCCTGTTCATCTCTCGGAATGCTAATCGGTGCAAGTATCAATCTGTAAAAATGTCCTATTTATTGACTCTAATGCGTTATGGAGAACTGAATACTGGTTTTTACAAATGCCACTTTCTATGTATATCTGTTAATGAATTGTCATAGTAGTCAACGAGATTACGTCCATGAGCTTTCAATAAGAAGATATATTAAGGACCGGAAAAACCACAATTCATTGATTCGCTGTATGCATATTTTACTAAGATGATGCTATCTGAATGTGACAAGTTCAAAATGAGAATGTCCAAATAAAGTATCCTCTATTGTTTTCAAAGGACTTTCTGTTGATTTCTAGGTATAGTTCATTCGTGTGACGCACAGTTCATAATTCTATTGTGGTGTAAATGGAAGGTGTCCGTTGTTATTCTGTGGTTTACATGTTGTGGTGTACTATTATATTATTTAATTATGTATGTCCCTGTCCTGGGTGTTCTTGCGTTTAGTTGTAATGCATTCCTGTCACGTAATTTTAGCGGTATTTTTAACATTGCCATATAAGCGGGAGGTTTGGATAGCCTTAAAACCAGGTTCAACCCACCATTTTTTCTTAAAATGTCCTGTACCAAGTCAGGAATATAGCAGTTGTTATCAAATAGTCCGTTTCTATGTATATTGGCGTTTATTTTTGTAGCAGTTCAGTACTTATGTTGTTCTCTTGCTTTCCTCTTATAGTTGATGTGTTTCCCTCGGTTTTGGTTTGTGACCCGGATTTGTTACAATTAAATCGATAAATTACTATTGAACAGCGGTATACTACTGTTGCCTTTATTTATTCAAGATATTAACAGACATTACAGTATATATCGTCTCATTTAATTGACGTTCAATAGGATTGATGCGATCCACATAATAACAAAACTTTGAATTAATCTGTTTAACATGAATCATTTATAAATTATATAGTGAAAGTTAAAAGATAATACTTGCTTCGTTCATTCTTCTTGAGATGCCCACCTTTGTCGCTTCAGACGAATAACAGGAAACGTCATTATTAGGCGGATAAGGTTTTGTTCCCATATCATTATATAAATGATCTTTTTTACTGATACTGACCATCTTATCAAAATCAATGTTTATGATTTTGGTTTTCAATAAAAGACCATATGTTGTAGAATTTTGTATAAATATGTTTTTGCATTATTTTGTAGAAGATGCAGATAGCAGCTAGTCATGAGGACAATTTCATTATTCAGCAAACGAGGAAGTTTTAGTGTCATATGTCTTATTACATTCTTTATGTTTGTTATATTCTTTTTGCAAACACAACAAAAGATCAATGGTATTTTTAAAATTCTATTTAGTTGTACTTAAATGATCAGTTTAGTTTAATCCTACGTGTAATCCTGAATCCGGTCGATGGTTAAGTTGTATTCAGCTTGTGTGAAGTTGGGAACGTAATAACTAATTAAGTGTCACCCATGTTTTGTCCTGTATCGATTAAACATGTTTGCTCCTGTATAGCGCATGTTTTCCGTGAATTATTTTTGGCGTGTTCTTGTAATTTTGAGTGAGTTTCTCGTTTATTCATAGTAATATAGATGTTTATACAACAATTTAATTCAAATACATGTACTGCATTGATACGACAATGTAATTGACGTCACTACTTTCACAGATTAAAGGAAATAGTTATCAAAGGTACCAGGATAATAATTTAATACGCCAGACGCGCGTTTCGTCTACATAAGACTCATCAGTGACGCTCAGATCAAAATAGTTATAAAGCCAAACAAGTACAAAGTTGAAGAGCATTGAGGACCCAAAATTCCAAAAAGTTGTGCCAAATACGGCTAAGGTAATCTACTCCTGGGATAAGAAAATCCTTAGTTTTTCGAAAAATTCAAAGTTTTGCAACAGGAAATTTATAAAAATGACCATATAATTGATATTCATGTCAACACAGAAGTGCTGACTACTGGGCTGGTGATACCCTCGGGGACGAAAACCAGAGGGCTCACAAACATGTTTAATCCCGCCACATTCTGAATGGACCCGAACCAAGTAATTCAGTGATTCATCATGGTTGCTGTCTGTAATATTTTGTTATATCGTTTATCGTGTTTTTTATAAATCATGCCAATGTTCGCTTTTTTCATGCTGATATCTTTTATAGCTTACTCAACGGTATGGATTTTGCTCATTGTTGAAGGCCATACAGTGATCTGTTGTTGTTATATCAACTTCATTTGGACTCCCTTATCCAATTATTTCGTATCTTTTTTAAAAGGAATAGTAAAAAGTAAAATAGGAACAGATGCAAATATGTGTCACTTTTTCTAATATTTACAACATAGCCACAAAATCTAGAATGTTCACACTTATCTCCATTTCATACTATTGTACATGCTATAGATCAAAGACTTCAAAGCTTGTATAAAATCAATAATACTGTCTCGATATAAGTACTTTGAGGCACGATAATGTTTTTTTCTAAGTTGTCCCTTGATCCATAATATCAAAAGGTTTCTTTAATGACAAGTACAGTAATTAGGAAAGATACCTTTGAAGCTAAGACAATGCATACTAGACCAGTGTCTAAGCAAAACGTTGATGAGCCAAAGTTATGTCAAAGGACGTCTCGTCCTTTTTCTAAAAAGGTCCTTGGAAGATACCAAGACCTTGATGATAAATATTTCGTATCAACTTAAATACATGATGGTCTTGAAGTATAGATTCTAGGTACTGACGTTGTTTATCATCTTAATTATGCGTTATAGTGTTTTTTTTATTTTTCCGTGTACATGTTTAACCTTTAGTGTTTATAGATATAAAGAGATGTGGTATGAGTACCAATGAGACAACTCTCCATCCAAGTAAAATTTATAAAAGTAAACCATTATAGGTCAAAGTACAGTCTTTAACACGGAGCCTTGGCTCACACCGAACAGCAAGCTATAAAGGGCCCCAAGAATTACTAATGTAAAAGCATTCAAACGGGAAAACCAACGGTCTAATCTGATAGTTCATTTTTGGTAATAAATTCTTGGCGTGGCTCGGTCAATATACATCCCGCCATTGTGTTCTTGTCTTTCATTTTTGCTTATGTACTTTGTCTATAGAGTGTCTATATGCCATTGTGTTTTTCTTTGTTGAAATAGATATTTGTTTTTATAGTGGTTAAGATTATATCACAATGGTTGCTGCTGTACCTCAATTTTTGACATTTTTACCTTTTATGTCTGTTTGTTTTGCTCACACGTTGTTGTAAATATACTGTGGATTCATTTTTATTCGTGGTATACCAATTCGTGGGTTTCGTGGATCACAGCGAACCATGAATTTAAGAATTCAACGAAGAATAATCCCGAGAAATGTGTATGGAGTCGGATCTTTATTTCCAGTTATGTTTTGCAGTTCTAGTATAGTGTTGACTAGCGATAAACATTGTAAGATAACACGTGTTTTTATTGAAAGAGCATACAAGTATTTTGATTAAATCAATAATAAATATATCGAATATCAGAAATAACTTACTTTTTAAAATTAATTAAAACTGTTCATGGAAAAAAACTGCAAGTCGTTAATTATCGTGTCATAGTTTGGTTTACTGGTGATTAAAAATAAATAGGATTAAGTACGCGGATATTGCTCTAGAATGACCAAGCGAGGATCTTGACAATTCAAAACCTTTTCAATGAATTCCTTCTTTTTTGTTTGTTTTATTATTGATCAAACCAAGGAGGTTATATGATCTCCTAATTCAAAAAGAAATCCACGAATTACGTATCTGAATTTATTTTCTTTTTATAATCAGCGATCCACGAATTTACGTATACCACGAAACGTCTTTTTTCTCTGTCCACGAAAATTGATACCCACGAAAATAATTGAAACCACAGTAATTGAATTCTTTGCAACTTTCAATCAAGTCAGAGGTTTAGCTAGCTATAAAACAAGGTTTAATCCACCATTTTTTACATTAGAAAATGTCTGTACCAAGTCAGGAATATGACAGTTATTTTCCTATCGGTTGATGTGTTCGAGCTTTTGATTATTCCATATTATAAAGGACTTTCCGTTTTGAATTTTCCTTGGAGTTCGGTGTTTTTGTTATTTTACTTTTTCGTATACATTAATGTAATGATAAATGTATCAATACATAAAATTATTTGCATAATATCTGGATATATAAAAGACATTCCAATGTTTTTTTTAACTTTCTAGTTATTCAATCAGATGGCCATGTGATAAACTACAGAAGACAAGCGACAGAGCAGACACACCCAAAACCTCTTCCGGAAACAATCACATTTGTATCAACAACTTCTTTACCGGTTATTCAAACAGACAAGCATGAGGTCAAGTTTAGAAGACCAATAGCACGAAACAGATCTCCACAATCCCCACTGCCAACTTCAATCATGTGTTTAGTTCTCACAACAAGTAATACTTTACTTTCTAAAGCTAAAGCTGTAAATGATACATGGGGAAGACGTTGTAACAAGACTATTTTTTTCACAAACAGACCGAGTACAATACAGAATGTCGTTTACTTGGATTTAGCTAAAGATGGCCGAAAACATCTTACAGATAAAGTTGTTCGGATATTTGAATATGTACATAAACAATTTACAGAATATGATTGGTTTTTGAAAGCCGATGATGACACATACGTTATTTTGGAAAACTTGAGACATTTTTTATCATTTTTTAAAAGTAAAGAACCAGTTTATTTGGGTCAAAACTATAAATTGTACACTAAACAAGGATATAATAGTGGTGGTGCAGGGTATATTTTAAGTAAGGAAGCTTTAAACAAACTTATGTTTGGGATTAAATATAAAAATTGTCCGAAGGATGGCAAAGATGAAGATGTGGATATTGGTAAGTGTTTGGATAGACAAGGTGTCCCAGTATATGATACAACAGACAAATTCAATCGAGAAACATTCCATGGTGGAACTATTGAAGACCATATGGTAGGACCATTATCCGATTTACTAAAAAAGTATCCTAGTACACCGGCCAAAACGGTAATAAATATTATAATACTTAGTATACACTGCTTATATTCATAGAACCTATTTAGTACATACATTGTATGAAACAGAGAACCTTTCCATATTTACAAACGGTAATGAGCAGAATTGAACCAAGAAATGCGTAGATTTTCTTTATCATTTACCGATGCCACATGTAGATCAGGATCTGCTCTTATCCTTCTGGAGTACATGGGATCACCCCAGGTTTTTGGTGGGGTTCGTATTGCTCAATCTTTAGTTTTCATGTTGTGTTTTGGTCTTGTTCTTTTTTTCATTGCGTTGTCAGTAAATTTCGATTTATATGTTTGGATGTCCCTTTGGTATCATTCGCCTTTCTTTTACATATTCTACATAACATACTGTAGGAAAGATATTCCCGATTGTGACATTATGGCTAGATTCGCATTGTGGGGGATTCATGCGTAGCAGTATATGTTTATCCTGTCGATGCATTTGGTCTTGTTCTTTTTAAATTTATGCGATTCCCTCAAATTATGTTTGTCACATTGATTTGTCTCTTCGCTATCGGTTTATGAGATTTTAACATAGGTTAACAACTGTAGTCTTAATTTAGCAAAGATATCGAAGTGCACAAGATGTGTAAAAAATTTGATATGTTCGACATTCAACAATGAACAAAACCCATACTGTATAAAACGATATGAAAGAACCATTAATTAAAGAATGATAAACAGTCCAAAAGATAAAACTAATGGCCTGATTTCTATTTAACCAAAAAAACAAAAAACAATTAAACAACAAATATGACAGACGTAAAAAGGTTCTTCAGAGTATATGAAATTTAATGAAATTGTTCTAAAAGTTATGTATCGGTATGGCAGATGACAAAAGCAACAAGTACAACAATATTGATTTACACCATATCAGGGATTGTTCAAAGTCAACTGATCATAAAATTTGACACTGTACTGCAAAGAAACTTTGTTAGAAGCGCCATCAATTAATCTGTACTCTTGAAATGACCATATGAGATTTATCATAGGATTTGCAGTTAACATGAACAATATAACGCTTGCCACAAGTGGAACATGGTGTTATTATCATTGCTGAGAAACTACTGTAATCCCCAGCTTTTGATCGGACTAGTCATTATCGCTATTTTACGAAATTTTCCTTTGATTTTACTGACTGATAATTTCATATCTCAGCACAGTAGAGTGATGTGAACCATTATCGCTAGAAACTAAGGGTGCACGTGCCGTTGTCAATGAAATTAACAACGTCGTCATAGGTAAAATAGCGATAAACAGATTATCATTGGTCATCTCAACTGGATTGCTTTTCTCACTTTCGCCGTACCGGCTCAAGCGAGAAAATCAACCTCGTTGAGATGACCAACGATAATCTATAATTCCAGGTCTTTTGATTATTTATATATTGTTTTGTGGACGTTTTGTCTTTGTATCGTTTTTCGGACTTTGGCCATTTCGTTGTCAGTTTCCCTTAAGCTTTTGAGTTTTGAATAAGTACTTGGTATCTTCTGCTTTACTTGTTATCAAAAATGAAAAGTATCCTTTATTTTAACTTCAACTTTCGAATCAACAAAGAAGACTATCAAACTGCATTAATTGAAGCACAATTTTTCAATTTTTATTTCCTTTGTATATACACAAACTAGGCTTACTATCCTTAAATTCTACTTTATAACGGCAACTCTCCTTTCGATTTATAGTCCATTGTGCTTCGTATCATCGATCACATGTGAATTACCAGCGGTATTTTGTGTACATCCGTATTATATAGAGTTGGTCGTGATCTCCGCCACATCACATGTAAGGTACCCGTGATATTTTGTGTACATCATTATTATGTGGGGTTGCTCGTGTTCTCTGCTACATCCGATCTATCAATACATTTGTCTTTAATGCAATTTCTTCTTATCATAATCTTGTTAACTACATCGATAATACAATAGATACGAGACTTAGCATAAACGTTGGCTGCATGTTTTTAATCTGATAACGCACTAGGGTTATGTGTGAGAAATTCACCAATCAGCTTTTGTATTATGCTTTATTTCTCGTTTTGTTACGTCAATGTATTTACATGTTATATATGTTAAGAATGGTGCATTTTAATAGTAGGGTAGGAAATGCTTGCTTATTTTGAAAATATGAGCTCACCCCTTTTTGGTTGGATCATGTTTCTCAATCTCAAGTTTTTGTGTAGTACCTCATCCACTTTTGTCTGTTATTCATCGCCTTATGCTTTTTTATTGCCACCCTTTGTATATTTTCCCCTTTTCGATGTCCCAATGTTCTTAAACGGATCCTTAATTAATACAACATATTGTTTTACAGGGTAAAGACTGCTGCAGTACCAATACAATAACCTTCCATTATGTTTCACCGAAGATGATGTATATATTGGATATCTTTCTATACCATTTGACAGTGTACGGACGCAACTATAGCAGCAGCCAAAATGCTTTTGCTTTAGACCAATACCGTGAAATGTCATGAATGGATTAAGATAGGGAATCAAATGAAAAGAACAGGATGAGTTATTGTAAGGACACAGCTAGGACTCCAAGTGCAACTGTTAAAGGGGAATGTGTTTTCGGCACTTACGTTTGGTAAAACGACTGCATTGCGTTTTAGTCTGTGATAAATAACTTTAGTTTATATACTTTCTATTTATCCGAAATCAAAAAAAGATACAATATTCAACATTTATTTAATTACAAACGATAAACTAATTAAAGAAACGCAAAGACGACATATGATGAAGTTATTCGTGTTTCAATAAATACTGCTATACAATTAATGATCAATGAATTAAAACAGCTTCGAAAGCAAACGAACGAATTCTTCGGAATAAAGTGTAATTTAATGTACATAGTTTGGGTAAAGCATTAATTTGTATTTCGAAATCAAATCATACCTGTAAAGAAATAAATATTTTTATCTTTGCTTTTGTATTCATATTTTTGTTACAATTTTAGATAAAGGAGACAACAGATACAGTTAAGGTAGCCTTATATCTTGACTTACATCTAGAAATTGACAATGATGGTCGGTTGAAAACAAAACTTTACGACAAAAGAGATGATTTCAGCTTCCAAATGGTGAACTTTCTATTTCTATGTAGCAACATTCGAGCAGCGCCTGCATACGGAGTATATATCTCCTAGTTGATACGGTATTCCAGGGCTTGTATTCCTATCAGTATTTCCTTGATAGAGGGTTGCTGCTCACAAGGAAGTTTTTAATCCAAGAGTTCCAAGTGGTGACGTTGAAATCATCCCTTTGGTTGACCGTTATGAAATATCCGTTGCACAGATGACAACGAATGTGTTCAAATTGTCATAACTACAATCCCGTCCCCTTTTCCCCGAATGTGGCCTACCGAATTAGACTTATCACAGGGTTTGTACCTGAGCAACACGACGGATGCCACATGTGGAACAAGATCTGCTTACCCTCCGGGAGCATCTGAGATCATCCCCAGTGTTGGTGTGGTTCGTGTTGCTCAGTCTCTAGTTTTTTATGATGTGTTTTGTGTACTGTTGTGTGTCTTTTTGTCTTTTTCTTTTTTAGCCATGGCGTTGTCAGTTTTTTTGTTTTTTTTTCTTATGAGTTTAAATGTCCCTTTGGTATCCTGCACCTCTCTTTAAGAAAGATAAGTGAATACTAACAAAGAACACAAGTATTAAAATGAAGAGGTTAAAACATGATTTGACAAATTCGATAATTTGTGTTTGCTTTCATTAACCGTGACCATAATTTGAATTAGAGGTACTAGTAGTTCACCGATATCCAAATCGAATAAATCCACGGTGGAATTGCAAATTAATTTAAAAAGAATAAAAACAGATGGAATCTCATAAACCACACAATGAGCGAAACCGGTGTATCGACAAGACTATAGTCACCTGCTATGTATGAATCACATTTCAGGCGAATCCACATTCAGTCAAACTATCACAACCGGAAATGAGACATAATCAATACATTTGCAGAGCAGAAAATATTGTGGTATAGTGTTCACTTAGTCAAAATGTCATCATCGGGAATAGGACACAATCAATACATTTGCAGATCAGACAAATATTGTGGTATAGTGTTCACTTAGTCAAAGTGTCATCATCGGGAATAGGACACAATCAATACATTTGCAAATCAGACAAATATTGTGGTATAGTGTTCACTTAGTCAAAATGTCACCATCGGGAATATGACACAATCAATACATTTGCAGATCAGACGAATATTGTGGTATAGTGTTCACTTAGTCAAAATGTCACCATCGGGAATATGACACAATCAATACATTTGCAGATCAGACAAATATTGTGGTACAGTGTTCACTTAGTCAAAGTGTCATCATCGGGAATAGGACACAATCAATACATTTGCAGATCAGACAAATATTGTGGTATAGTGTTCACTTAGTCAAAGTGTCACCATCGGGAATAGGACACAATCAATACATTTGCAGATCAGACAAATATTGTGGTATAGTGTTCACTTAGTCAAAATGTCACCATCGGGAATATGATACAATCAATACATTTGCAGATCAGTCAAATTTTGTGGTATAGTGTTCACTTAGTCAAAATGTCACCATCTGAAATATGACACAATCAATACATTTGCAGATCAGACAAATATTGTGGTACAGTGTTCACTTAGTCAAAATGTCATCATCGGGAATAGGACACAATCAATACATTTGCAGATGAGACAAATATTGTGGTACAGTGTTCACTTAGTCAAAATGTCACCATCGGGAATAGGACACAATCAATACATTTACAGATCAGACAAATATTGTGGTATAGTGTTCACTTAGTCAAAATGTCACCATCGGGAATATGACACAATCAATACATTTGCAGATCAGACAAATATTGTGGTATAGTGTTCACTTAGTCAAAATGTCACCATCGGGAATATGACACAATCAATACATTTGCAGATCAGACAAATATTGTGGCATAGTGATCATAGTCAAAATGTCACCATCGGACATATGACACAATCAATACATTTGCAGATCAGACAAATATTGTGGTATAGTGTTCACTTAGTCAAAATGTCACCATCGGGAATAGGACACAATCAATACATTTGCAGATCAGACAAATATTGTGGTACAGTGTTCACTTAGTCAAAATGTCACCATCGGGAATAGGACACAATCAATACATTTGCAGATCAGACAAATATTGTGGTATAGTGTTCACTTAGTCAAAATGTCACCATCGGGAATAGGACACAATCAAAACATTTGCAGATCAGACAAATATTATGGTACAGTGTTCACTTAGTCAAAATGTCATCATTGGGAATAGGACACAATCGGTTAATTTATTTATCAAACGAACATACTGGAATCTAACATATAAGACTGCGAAAACACGTCGCTTGTAAGTTGAGTCTACATTGGAGCAGCGTTCATATTACTGCTGACAAATGATGTGTTGACAATTCGAAAGTTTAAATCATCACGATCGTCGTAGATTGTAGCATGAAGGAGTCCATATGTGGCAATATCGACAAAAAGATCAAGATATCAACATGATGAACCTGAACTTCTAAATTTGGTAGTATCCTGAATCACAAGTTCATGGTATATATGAGATGTAATCACTCATTGAAATATGGGTTATTACGTGACAGAAAACACTTGTTGCTTTTTCTTTTTTCTTTGAGAAGGTTCTATATGAATTCTGCTTCATAACGATACAAAAGCAAATCGGTCAGTAGAGGTGCACAATTTTAAATACCTGTTAGAACACCGACTGCCTACTGAAATATGATATAAATAAAACGAATAAAAGAAAACGTTTTTGGTGTCCAGCTTTTTTATATCATTGTCGGTGTATTTTTGGTTTTAATCAGTGCAGATGTTCACAAAGTAAATGTTTTTATGATCTAAAAATAAGAAATTTGTATTTGCGTTTCCGCTATTATTTGTATAGAATATCTGTTTGATTAGGCGATGGTGTCGATATTTCAATTGAGCATGGGAAATTGTAGTGTGAAAAGTAGAAAAATCAAAGTTTTTGATACCAATGCAAAACTATAGATATTGTGATGGAAGATTTTTGAGTAGATATTTATTTAAGAATCCACATCTGATTGAATATACCTCATCACCACATTTCGGAAGGCCCATTTGACTTAAGAAATAATGGCAGTAAGAACATAACTTTAGAAAGATAGTTATCCGGAATTATGGCCTATGACGTTTTCTTTATAAGGATTTGTGTGAAGTTTGGACATCCTGAATAAAGATGGGAAATTTTTTACTCTGCAAGTAACAGTAAATGTTGCACAAGGACATCGTTTCATAAGTAAGCTGTGTCTTTAAATTCAATAAAATGAATAATCCTTGACAATTCGCACCACATGAAAAGCGAAGGTTTTTTTTAGAGTGGATTGATATTAGGACTACTGTTGTTTAATTTTTGGGTCACAGTTCTGTATACATTTCGTTATCACTGTTTTGATGATAGATATCGTTTTTGTTCAGTAAGAAAATATGTTCATCGTTTCCTCATTGCTTTTCAACTTTGTACCTCAATTGACCTTTTTATTTTCATTTTCATTCAAGCGTCACTGAAGAGTCTTTTGTTGACGAAACTCGCGTCATGGGTACACAATTTCAATCTACAATGAGTTAATTGATAGTTTTCTTTCTATAAATCTAAAATCTGACTTGATGTTTAAATAAAAAGTAAAAAGATTAATGCTAATTAATCACGACTCAAAGTTAAAATAATCATATCTTCTCATCAGTAAAATTCAAAAAATTTAAAAAGTGCCAAATCCAGCTAAGGCCATCTAAAAATGGAGGTAGACAAACTTTAATCTTTATGATGATTTTAGGGTTGTATTAACAGTAAACGGTCGTATCGTCGATATTTTATGTCAGCACAATACGCGGAAAATATCATAAGCAGACAAGTTATACCATTTTGGAATATAACTGTCAGTTGGAGTTACAGCTGCACTTTGATCGTTAAGTATCATATAGACTTTCAGGGTTTTATTATCTCCTGATACCAGCAATCTTTATGTATTATTTCTGCAGTTAAGCACTTTTTATGGACTTTAATATAAAACTACCTTATCAGTTTTCTGAGGGCTTCTTTTGGTTTCACAATTTAAACTCAAGAATGTTTAGGCATTATAATCCTTTTGTTTTGTGTTACTTCGTGTGTAAAGCAATTGTCTTCTAGCGAAAAAAAATAAAGTATCATTTCATTGTGATTAATTTCCTGATAATAATGTCTTAAATGGGTGACTGGTGTAACATTTATTTATTCATTTGAGTGTTATAAGCAAAATATAGACCAATGAATAGTCTTAAAGTATGATATAAGGAAATATATGACGGTTTCACCGAAATTACTACATAGATCATCATTAGAAAGGTAAGGTTCATTATAATGAAATACTAATATCAACAAATTTACAACGATTTTCCTTCATTTTCATATCGAAACAATCTTCAATGTTTACGTCCAACTTAGTTATCTTGATTTTAATATTTGGTGAAGATAAACTTTTTGAATTTTTATCAACTATCAAATTTTATGTTTCAATAGCTCATTTCGAATAACAAAATGTGCCTGTAAAAATATCATGAATACAGATACAGTGTATTTTTTTTAATACTAGTAATGAGCCATAGAAAACATATTTATCACTTATGTCCTGTTGTTTTACGACTGATTCAGTTTTTGGCGACCATCAGAACGTGTAGATATTTTTTAATCGACACAATTATATTGAAATAATCCAATTATGTAAAACAATATTCAAATCAATTAAATTATAGCATGATTAAATACAAAAAAAAAGTTTTTATCAGTCAAAGAGAAATTAGTGTGAAGGATTTTCCACTAATTTTACATTGTTTAAACATTTGTTTTCCTTGACATATATATATGTGGAATACCAGATATCTTTACAAGTTCCTCGATACATTGTTTATTAATTGTTTACATGGTTCCTCCTTTATAAGGTCAGATGATTATCAAACTGCCTGTTGACACGAATATTCTAGCGTCTTAATATTCACCTATTTGTCCCTCTCAAATATGTAGTTATTATTTTTCTATTGTTTCATTTAAACGTCTCATCTATGTAAATGAAAAACAATATTTTAAAAAACGGCTGGTCGAATTGTCCTTTTAATCTCTTTATTTTTTGTTCGAATCATTATTTGCGGATTTTATTCCATTTTGATACAATACCTTTTGAAAAGAACGAAATTTTATCCCCCAACGGATTGTGTCATTCATGCATGACTTTTCATCCGTGAGATGCATCTATTACCGTCTCGTGTCGATTATGTTTAATATTAGTCCATATAACAGTCACTCCGAATAAAGTGTTTCGTATGAATTATGGATACAAATATTTGATTTTGTTATTTGCCTAACTGTTGGACAGGTTAGGGTTAGGTAAATATAATGAAATAATATGGCCTTTTTCTTGCACCCTGTTCATGGAAGACAATAATTCAAAGATAACAAAGAAATGGAATGTAGATAGAGGAGTAATCTCCATTTAAAAAATTCACATAGAGCATTTAAATATTTTTTCTCAGCACATTATTATCGAAGTCATAGTTAGCTTTTGAGTCAAATTTACATTGAGTAGAGCATTAATTATATAAATGTTTCCTACCTATTGTAAATATAGCGATTTTGCGCCAGAATATGTAGACAGATCCGTATTTAGATTTTACTTGATCGTAATTAGATGGAAGACAAAACTTGGCATATTACATATAAGGAAATTAACAAAAAAAGTTTCAGTGATAAAACTTCATGTACTGAAAACCTTGCAAATAAAGACAACAGTAGTATACCGCTGTTCGAAATTCATAAATCGATTGAGAAAAAACAAATCCGGGTTACAAACTAAAACTGAGGGAAACACATCAAATATAAGAGGAGAACAAAGACACAACAGAAACACTAAAATGCAACACACACAGAAACGAACTATAAGATAACAATAGCCATATTCCTGTTTTGGTACAGGACATTTTAAGAAAAAATGGTGGGTTGAACCTGGCTTTGTGGCTAGCCAAACCTCCTGCTTTAATGGCAATGTTAAATATAACACTAAAATGACAACATTACACGACAGGACTACAATACAAATAAATGGAAGAACATACAGGACAGAGAAACACACAAATAAACAATACAATGGAACATTACGACAAGCTAATAGTTATCAAAGGTGCCAGGCCTAAAGATGAAGATCATTGATGACCCAAAATTCCAAAAAGTTGTGCCAAATACGGCTAGGTTATCTGCCTGGGATAAGAAAATATTTAGTATTTAGAATAATTCATATTTTTGCAAACAGTAAATTTATAAAATATAAAAATGACCATATAATTGATATACATGTTAACACCGAAGTGGTGACTAACAACAGAATATAAGCAAATACGTAAAACAACCTAGATCAGCACATAAAAACAGCACAGCCGAACAACGAAAAAGCGGTACAACATATATATATATATTTAATAAACACAGAATGTTAAATTATGCTATCATATAATGTTATGTATTATAGAATTCGAAACGTCAGTTATATATTGTCAAGATAAATAATTAAGAACAGTATTTTTCATATTTGATAAATCTGCTATTATGCGAATTGTACTATTTATATGGAAATGTCTGTACCAAGTCAGGAATATGATAGTTGTTTTCGATTCGTTTGATGTGTTTGAGCTTTTAATTTTGCCATTTGATCAATGACTTTCCGCTTTGAATTTTCCTTGGAGTTCGGTATTTTTGCTGTTTTACGTGTTTTTTTTATCTTTGTTTATATTATGCTACCTTCCGTAAAACTTTACAAAATCAAACAAACTTATGCGTTTTTTTGTATTGTGTCTATCAGTAAATGCACTTAGCCAATTATAACACACAATTTCCATTACATGTATTAAAGAAAAGTTAAATACATCACCATGATATTTTGGTGTGACATCTACAATTTATTAGCATTAGAAGACACCTGCGACGCCAAAGGTTCGTGACTGATTTCAATTAGTATATCTATTGTACATGTAAGTCGATATCTACAGTTTGCGTATTGTCATTTGGTGAAGTCACGCATTGAATTATGTGGGCAGTTTACTCTCCTTGCAATGACATTCTGTCTGAAACTTTTATTGCTTTTGAAAATGATTTTATACTATAGAACTTTTACCATGAACAGCTGGGCGGTTGTGAGAATGGAGCAGAAATCGCTTATCATTTTTAAAAACCTAATTTTGTATGTAGTTTTATGAGGGTGCAAGTTCGACACTTGTTTTTCACCTTAGCTTCTACTAAAAGGGCGAATACATTATAATGAGTATAATGGTTATGTCTATCAATAATTATTATTTCTTGTTCATTTGTCTGAGCCTTCAGTAATATCGGTGTTATATGTAGTAACCCATATGTCTGTCAGCATTCACCTATTATATGTAACTTCTCCAAAACATGAAATATTTCTTCCCGTCTAAAATATTCAGATTTACACCCTCTTTTTACTTTCTAACTAATGCCTTTTTTTTTAGAATATCGCGTTTACTTAATAAGGTGCAGTAAGCGGTGAATTGACAGTACAGCCTAAAGTTATAAATTACAAGTTACAAATGTATGTTTATTTATGCAAATTTAAACTTATCCCAAAACGTAAAGTGTTCTCATGAAAGAAGCGACACTCTCAAATGTATATAGTTTGTATTATCATGTAATTATATATGTGTTTATTCAACTTTTATGGTTGAGGCTCTGTATACTGCAGTTTAATGTTCATACTTCAGTGTATTCATTTTCATAGTACTTAGACATATAAGATATACCCGTAGTATGTTATGTGAACAGGATTTGTTTACGTACTCATATTTCATCTCCGCCATATAAACATATGCTTGATCATTTAAAGGCGCCAGTTGTTTAGACCAAGATATGAAGGAAACCTTCTAGTTTCGATAGTATCCCTCATCTCAAGTTCACTTGGATATATGAGATACAACCACGCACTGAAATGTCGATTCTTGAGTTACAGGACATCTATAATACATCTAAATCTGAAATTAAGGAACTTTACAAGACGTTGTTTTTTATTTTAATTTTTGAATAGGTTTTTTTATGAATTCTGATTCATATGAGTACATAAACAAGTTGGGCAGTATGGGTACGCAATAAGTACCAACTGGAATACAGACTGCCTGTTGAAATATCAATCCACCAAACTGAACATACATGTTGTCGATAAATAGTCGTGCCTTTTTGTGACATCATCTTTGGTGTATTTTTTGTTGGAACCAGAGGGGTTCCTCATACAGTTAGATTGTTCCCGAAGTAAAGAAAGTAAGTTACTTTGTTAGTGGTTATCATATGATGTTGTATCTCACTATATTTGTCATTTGGAGAACGAAGTGGTAATCATTATTATTAGATAGTTTGTGTTTTATCTATTTGAAATTTCACTAGACTCGAGGCTATTTAAAGGTTGACATATTATTAAACAAGAATCCACACGCTGAAATGTCTCGCCTGTTTTACTGACCATTGATTTTATATTGAAAGTCTTAAAGATAAAGGTTTTACTACAAGTATCACATAAACTTAACATGTTTAAAGATCCATGACAATTTGTTCAAGGTCAAATAAAAACTGTCACACAGAATATGTACACCTTACAATTATTCCATACACCAAATATAGTTGACCCATTGATTATGGTAACTGAAAAACAGACCAAAACACAAAAATTAATGTTAACCAATGAACCATGGAAATGAGGTCATGGTAAAATGATATTAGTTAGACAGACATGCACGCCTAACAATCATTTCATACACCAAATATAGTTGACAAATTAGTATTTGAAACACAGACCAAAACACAAAAACTTAACATTGACCAATGAACCATGAAAATGAGGTCAAGGTCAGATGACACCTGCTAGACAGACATTTACTGTTTGCAAAATTATAAATTATTCTAAATAATAAGGATGTTCTTGTCCCAGGCATAAAATCCTGTCCGTGTTAGGCGCAACTTTTTGGAAGTTTTGGTCCTCGGTGCTCTTCAGCTTTGTACTTGTTTTGGCTTTCAAACTTTTTTTATCTGAGCGTCACTGGTTGGTCTTGTGTGGAAGAGACGCACGTCTGGCGTATTGAATTTTAAGCCTAGTACCTTCTGCTAGCTATTATTCGTGTGTTTCTTTGTCCTATATGTTCTCCCATTTATTTGTATTGTGGTCCTGTAATGTGATATTGTCGTTTTGGTGTTGTGTTTGACGTTGCCATAAAAGCGGGAGGTTTGGCATGCCACAAAACCAGGTTCAACCCATCATTCCATAAACCAATATAGTAGACCTATTGCTTACAGTATTTGAAAAACAGACCAAAACACAAAATCTTAACATTGACCAATGAACCATGAAAATGAGGTCAAGGTCAGAAGACACCGGTTAGACAAACACCTAACAATCATTCCATAAACCAAATATAGTTGACCAATTGCCTACAGTACTTGAAAAACAGACCAAACCACAAAAAATTAATGTTAACCAATGAACCATGGAAATGAGGTCATAGTCAAATGATACTAGCTAGACAGACATGTACGCCTTACAATCATTTTATACACCAAATATAGTTGACATATTGCTATTAGTATTTGCAAAACAGACCAAAACACAAAAAACGTAACATTGACAAATGAACCACTAAAATGAGGTCAAAGTCAGATAAAACCTGCCAGTCTGACATGTACCCCTCTCAATCATTCCATACACCACATATAGTTGACCTGCTGCTTGTAGTATCTGAGAAACGGACATAACCTTGATCACTGATCCATGAATTGAAGTCGAGGTCAGGTCAACCCTGTCTGACCCTGTCTGACGGACATGTAGACGTTGCAAGGAACCCATATATCAAATATAGCTATCCTATTACTCATAATAAAATGAGAAAGTCACATGACAAAAAAACCGTTTTTTTCTTTTTCAAGCAGTCACTGAACCATGAAAATGAGGCCAAGGACAATTGGCATATGACAGACAGACACTTCATAACAGAAGGTATCGGTATTCAAGGTATGAAGCATCTAGGTCTTCTACCTTCTGAAATATAAAGCTTCATACAAATAGTTTACGCCGCCGCCGCCGGATAGTAATACCTATGTCTCGCATACTGCGACTTTCGTCGCAGGCGAGATAAAAACCCTGTGCATTGTTGAACTCTACATTTGTTTTATGCATTGTTGTTTCTTATTCATTATTGTATCACCCACATTTCCTTTTTATTCATAAATATCAAATGTACATTACAAATTATCACATTAAAACATTAAATACAAATTTTCGTTTTAGGTTGATAGCAACATAAATGCAAATATGGAATTTTGTTTATTAGTTATCCTGGCGACGGTTGTAAAAGATGCAAGCGGTAATATTGTTGCTTAAGATTATTTTTATCTTTTTAATTTGAAAGTTACTCAGTATATTCATGTAATTTTTAATTGTTTTACTTTAACATTTGTTAAAAGATAAAGCCGGTACTACATAAAAGTTTTGAAGACAAACAAAATAATGAGACTTTTTAAAAATATTTATCATGGTGAAGTAATGTAAAGAAAAAGGACGGCATAAAGTAAATTGATGACAATAATATAAAAATAATAATAATAATAATAATATTAATAATAATAATCATAATAATAATGATAATAATAATAATGATACTCATGATAATAATAATAATGATTTTCATGATAATAATAATAATAATGATACTCATGACAATAATAATAATAATGATACTCATGATAATAATAATAATGGTACTCATGATAATAATAACAAATGATACTCATGATAATAATAATAATAATAATGATACTCATGATAATAATAATAATAATAATGATACTCATGATAATAATAATAATGATACTTATGATAATAATAATCATGATACTCATGATAATAATAATAATAATGATACTCATGACAATAATAATAATAATGATACTCATGATAATAATAGTAATGATTCTCATGATAATAATAATAATAATGATACTCATGATAATAATGATAATATTAATAATGATACTCATGACAATAATAATAATGATACTCATGATAATAATAATAATGATACTCATGATAATAATAATAATGATACTCATGATAATAATGAAAATGATACTCATGATAATGATAATAATAATGATACTCATGACAATAATAGTATTGATACTCATGATAATAATAATAGCAATGATGGTAATAGTTAAGTAAATTAATAATAATAATAATAATAATAATAATAATAATAAAATGTAAAATCAGTTTTCTCGTTGTAGGACATGCCAATGATATGTTCATTGAAAAGACAGAAGCAATCTCATTCCTTTCTCGTCAAAAGCGCAGTAAGTCTTCCATATGTGAAAAATAGAGAAAGGAGTCATATTTGTTAAAAACTTGAAGGTGATATACCGAAGTCAAACTCTAGCACAAAATTGAGATTGATTCCAAGTGAGAAAAGGTGACGTACTTTGATATAGAAATCCTATCCATTATGCAATACATCCTATGACCTCAAGTTTTACCATGCATAAAGGACATAAATCAATAATGTAAGCTTATGCATTGTGAAGTAATAATTATACATAGGGTGTATTTCCAACATGCAAAGGAAACAGTTTACTTGCACCAGATATGCATATCGACTATAATTTTTCGAGGTGAAAAATCTAATGCAAATAAGAGCTGATCAATAAAGAGGACAAAAAATGAAGCTGAACCCGGTCAAGAAATCAAAGCAAATTGTAAGTGAAGTATCGAAACCTGAAACAAGTAATTCAGTCTGTGACAAGAAATGTGATATATAGTATGATTAAACACGTTCGTCTCATATTATGATCTCATTCGAAACCATGAAAATAAAATTTAAAAAGCAAACATTTACTTTTGAATTTAGGTCTAGTACATGAGTGTGACGAGGGATGTTCATTTGAAGAGGTTGATGAACTATTTGAAAACCATTCTAAAAACGTGAGTATTTTTTTGGCTTTTCAAACATTTAATTTTAATTGTACCCGTTGAAAGTCATTCCAGAAGTATGTGTCACGCGCACTACGACCAGGATCATACTTTTATATTATATACCCGAGGCTAAATACTCAGACGATATGATTACAATATACAACAGGTATGTCATTTATTCTTTTAACTTTTTGCTGTGCTATTTTTTAAATTCATCGACTTAAAAATGGCGTGTTACAAAAAAATCTAAATTATCAAAATGCGCATCTAGTTCAGTAAAATTGGTACCGTTAATAGGGTTAATGTTATTGCAGTATTGCAGTTTTGTCCTGTTTTATTATGATCCTTTACACAAAAATATTTGAAACAATTTTATAGTTAGCATAAGCTTATCTGGTTAATTTTAGTCACCTGAATTATAGAAACAGAAATAATATATAATATTATAATAATATCAGAGATTGTGGATGGTTTGGTACAAATGTAGACGTGTGACCTGTCCTTCTGGAACACTTTGTAGTAAAACAAACAATGATTTCTCACATATACACAGACTGAGGGTTCATTGCGAAGGTTAGTATATCATGCATATGTATACCAAATAAACTCATCATAGATACCAGGATTGAAATTTTATATTTGCGCCAGACGCGCGTTTCGTCTACATAAGACTCATCAGTGACGCTCGAATAAAAAAATGTTAAAAAGGCCAAATAAAGTACGAAGTTGAAGAGCACTGAGGACCAAAAATTCCTAAAAGTTTAGCCAAAAACAGCTAAGGTTATCTATTACTGAGGTAGAAAAGCCTAAGTATTTCCAAAATTTAAAGTTTTGTTAACAGTTAATTTATAATTATGAACATATCAATGATAACTCAAGTCAACACAGAATTGCTGACTACTATGCTGGTGATACCCTCGGGGAATTAATACTCAACCAGCAGTGGCATCGACCCAGTGGTTGTAAATAAACTCATCATAGATACCAGGATTGAAATTTTATATTTGCGCCAGACGCGCGTTTTGTCTACAAAAGACTCATCAGTGACGCTCGAATAAAAAAATGTTAAAAGGCCAAATAAAGTACGAAGTTGAAGAGCACTGAGGACCAAAAATTCCTAAAAGTTTAGCCAAATACAGCTAAGTTATCTTTTCCTAAGGTAGAAAAGCCTAAGTATTTCCAAAATTTAAAGTTTTGTTAACAGTTAGTTTATAATTATGAACATATCAATGATAACTCAAGTCAACACAGAATTGCTGACTACTATGTTGGTGAAACCCTCGGGGAATTAATACTCAACCAGCAGTGGCATCGACTCAGTGGTTGTAAATAAACTCATCATAGATACCAGGATTGAAATTTTATATTTGCGCCAGACGCGCGTTTCGTCTACATAAGACTCATCAGTGACGCTCGAATAAAAAAATGTTAAAAAGGCCAAATAAAGTACGAAGTTGAAGAGCACTGAGGACCAAAATTTCCTAAAAGTTTAGCCAAATACAGCTCAGGTTATCTATTCCTAAGGTAGAAAAGCCTAAGTATTTCCAAAATTTTAAGTTTTGTTAACAGTTAATTTATAATTATGAACATATCAATGATAACTCAAGTCAACACAGAATGGCTGACTACTATGCTGGTGATACCCTCGGGGAATTAATACTCAACCAGCAGTGACATCGACCCAGTGGTTGTAAATAAACTCATCATAGATACCAAGATTGAAATTTTATATTTGCGCCAGACGCGCGTTTCGTCTACAAAAGACTCATCAGTGACGCTCGAATCAAAAAAGTTAAAAAGGCCAAATAATATACGAAGTTGAAGGGCGATGACGACCAAAAATTCCTAAAAGTTTTGCCAAATACAGCTTAGGTTATCTATTCCTGAGGTAGATAAAGAAAGGCAACAGTAGTATACCGCTGTTCGAAACTCATAAATCGATAGAGATAAAAACAAATCCGGGTTACAAACTAAAACTGAGGGAAACGCATCAAATATAAGAGGAGATCTAGAACAACGACACAACAAAAACACAACATTAAAATGTAACACACACAGAAACGAACTATAATATAACAATGGCCATTTTCCTGACTTGGTACAGGACATTTTAAGAACAAAATGGTGGGTTGAACCTGGTTTTGTGGCATGCCAAACCTCCCGCTTTTATGGCAACGTCAAACTCAACAGCAAAACGACAACATCACATGACAGGACCACAATACAAATAAATGGGAGAACATATAGGACAAACAAAACACACGAATAATAACTAACAAAAGGTACTAGGCTTAAAATTCAATACGCCAGACGTGCGTCTCGTGCACACAAGACCAACCAGTGACGCTCAGATGAAAAAAGTTTGAAAGCCAAAACAAGTACAAAACTGAAGAGCACCGAGGACCAAAACTTCCAAAATGTTGCGCCTAACACGGCCAGGGTTTTCTGCCTGGGACAAGAACATCCTTATTATTTAGAATAATTTATAATTTTGCAAACAGTAAATTTTATAAAATGACTATATAATAGATATACATGATAAAACCGAAGTGGGGACTAACTACAGAATAAAAACGGATACATAACATAAAACAACTTAATCCAACACATAAAAATACACAGCCGAGTTAGCCAAAGCCTCAACGCACAAAGTGACGTCACATTTGAAATTCTAAAAAAACACACAAAGTGACGTCACATTTGAATTTGTAAAAATATTTCTCAAAAATAAGATAGGATTAGGATTGATTCAAGATTAGATTTGTAATACTGACATTACATTTATTAATAACAATGAAAATTACATTACTTATTAATATCAAATTGTGGTAGTAATTAGATAATTAATTGTATTATCTAGCTATGTCGGTGTTTCTTCTGAATCAAACTGTAAACCAAATATATCGTATAAATTTCATTGAACCAAACTAAAATCTAATAAATGAAGGGGGTGATTAATTATCTTTACCATAACACACGAATATAACAGAAAAGACGTTAAGACAAGTGATGTCCTGACTCCAAATAACCGAATTTTAATGAGTTAATTTGCTACGCTAGTGGTTGTTTTCATTATACACCCTTCTTAACAGGAATTTTTTTCAGGAAACTACTACAACATAGCTGTGAGATGGTACGAGGTTTCTGTACGGTTGATGTGTCTAAGTTACAGCCCATTACCGACATCTTTCGTGGTCTGAGATCTTTATCGGTTTTTTTTTCACTAGCATTGAGAGTTTGTATTTGTTGTATGAGTCTGAGTGTCCCTTTGACATCTCCCGTCTCTTATTTAGATACAATAATAGTCGTCTGATCTGACAACTGACCGATGGTGTTCTATTCCCGACTATGTCATCTTTACTGAAGGTGGATTCACATGGTGGATAATGCATGCATAGCAAGAGACCCCTACCCTGACGACACACCTAAATAGATAGGACTTTTATTATTGTCCCTTTGTATCTTTAACTTCTCATTGGAAAATGAAGTTATATTTTTTGGGTGTAAGGAGATCGGTTTGATATAATTCATTAACGAGTCTTATTTTTTCAGATAATAATGAATGCATTACAAGCAACCATGACTGTAACCATATATGTACAAACACCTATGGGTCATATGAGTGTTCATGTTACCATGGATACCAATTTCAACATGACAACAAAACTTGTTTAGGTAATATAATAGCTTAATGAATGTAATTATACATTTGTCATTAAAATTCAGTGCATTGACAATAACATCATTCATCAATAAAAATGAAAAACGACTATTCTTGTGGCATGACACATTTTCACCACTTTTGATATAACATCAATTCTAGTAAATGTAGAAAGTAATAAGCACAGTGCATCACATGTACTGTACCTATTACTCTATATATTTACTAAAAAGATTTTTACATCCAAATGATTTTGTCTCACAAACCCATGTCTTAAAGACCTGGTGGCTATAAATACTTTAAAAAGGTTATATCAACCATTTGTGTTGTTAACTGGTGACAATATCAAGTTTATAAAGTAAACAGACATGGAAGATCAGTGACTTTCATTAACAACATTCTTGATTTGGGACGAGCAAATACATAAATAACGGGATAAATCTAAGTTCAGTGATTGATGTTTTGACTAAGTAATTAATTGTTAGTGTTTAACACCACTTTCAGCACTCTTTGGAAGAAAAAGCCGTGGTGCACGGTAGGCATACAGTTAAGTGATAAGGTAAATAAGAACAATTTTAAATCAAAGTATTGCATGTTTATAATTGATCATTTTATTTTAAATTTCCTCATAGACTGATCGTTTAGTCTACTAATGTAAGGAAAATCGACACGTCTATATGTTGGCTTTTTTTACAGACTGTTATTTCATATTTCTGTAATTTTGATTTATTGCATAATTATGATTTGAAAATCATATAGCATTGACTTTCGTAAGGATTGAATGACCATGTTCAGCGATATCATAACGTTATTTTAGCCTAAACACGAAACAAATAAGAAGATAATTTATATAACTGGATATATATCGGTTATCATTGTTCAAAAGAGAGGCGAAAGTTATCAACGAAACAACCTTTCAATAGAATGTTTCAAAATCTTTTATGGTCAAGCACTGAACGTTGGAAATTAGTTGATGGGAAAGATTATAAAATGTTAAAACAGTATGTCTTCCTAAGTCTTTCGTATCTAGAATTGGATCTTGCATCTTGATGACTTGTTTATTTAGATACTTCGTTTTTCAACTGAATGGCTAAATTGTTATGGTACAGAAACTTTTCATAGTTACACAAATCATTTAAGAAAAACAAGGAAACACATATTTTGAAGATTATCCTTTTGGCGTGGCTCGGTACTTGTACATCCCACCATTTTTGCTTATGTGCTTTGTCTATATGCCATTTTGTTTGTCTTTGTTGGCATATTTGTTTGATTTTATAATGATTGAGATTATAACACAATGTTGACTGCTGTACCTCTATTTTTGACATTTTTACCTATTACGTCTGTTTGTTTTGTTCGCACATTGTTGTCAATATAAGGGAATTTTATGCGACTGTCATACAAGTGAGAGGTTTAGCTAGCTTTAAAACCAGATTTGATCCACCATTTTCTGCATAAGGAAATGCCTGTACCAAGTCAGGAATATGACAGTTATTTTCCATTCGTTTGATGTGTTTGAGCTTTTGATTTTGCCAATTGTTAAGGGACTTTCCGTTTTGAATTTTCCTTGGAGTTCGGCATTTTTGTTGTTTTACTTTTGACCATATTTTGTTAAAGTTCGCCAAATGCACGGCAATAAAAATTCCGCACAAATTCATTTCTATGACATATTAAATAACTTTGTTATGCACACCCGACAGGTCCTCCTTTACAGAAAGTGCAAATGGTTTGTATTCTTTGTGGTTTAATTGTACTGTATATTTTTGAAGGGGAAGCTACTAAAGTCCAGCTTGCTGACATGCTTGTTAAAAAGTTGATTCTATTTTTTTCCGTCCATCTCTTTTTTTTGTGTTTCGTTTAAAACACGTTTCAATTTTATTTTCAATTTAGTCCTGTTTGTACTCTTAAACATTTGAGTTTGAGCGTCCTGGTCAATAGGAAAATGGCCCATTCATCTGATAAAGGGAGATAATAATAGGAACCCAGACGACAATATACGAAGTATTAAAGACATAAAGGAATAATTAACTTTATTAATTCAGGATTCTGGCAGCACAACATTTGATATCTTTTATTTATTATAGATATAAACGAATGTGAGAGCAGCGCAGATGATTGCGACCAAACATGTATAAATCTCAATGGTTCATATGAATGTTCCTGTTATGATGGTTATCTGTTACACATAGATAACAAAACTTGTACGGGTAAGTATTAATGACAATTCCTCATTGAAGCGTATCTGATAAAGCGGAAAACAGTTGCTAATTTGTTACAAAAAAAATCAAAAGTTTATCTCTTAAACCTAAAACGGAACCAACTTGATTGTAAATTAAGTAACCTGAATACACCAATCTCGAGTTGTTTTTTTATGAAGGAGTAACACCGGTTGACCGGATGTCAATCGGCGTAAACGACGTCATCGAACAATCGGTTCTTACTGTGACGTAATAACAAAAGCATTCTGACAAGGAAATTTACTGGAAAGTGCACGAGTTCGAAAGTCCTCTATTAATCATGAAAGCAATTTTTGCAAGCTTATGTGTATAATTTTTTGTTTTTGACAAATAATTAGATTTTCGTATGAACAAAACAAAATAAAAAAAAAACAAAATCATATTGAAACAGTTAAATGAACAAGAAAATAAGGAATTTTATGCCAAAAGTCCAAATTCACTTTAAAATTGGCGAACAACTAACTGATTATCACGTGATATAGATTTTAATTGTGATGCCAAGTTATTTTCTACAGTTTAATATATTTTACGATAGGCTTCGAATGTACACTATTGGAAAAATTCAATTTCTTATATGTTGTTTAGTAGCACAAAAATACATCTTGATGACTTGTTTAGTTAGATACTTTTTTTGATGGTGCATAATTTCAACTGAATGACTACAATTGTCCATAACTTTTCATGCTTATACAAATCAAGTAAGAAAAACAAGGAAAATATCTTAACATTAACTCGGGTTGTTTCCCTATTAAATTATCTAAAGGGATATTTTGGTTTATCGTTTTTAAACTATTATCTGTTTTAAATTGAACAGATTACAACAGAGATCGCTACCGTTGTATAGGTAAGATGATAAAACTTTACTGGATAATACCTCTTCAATTAGGTTTGCAATATTCGTCTACAGATACCATCCTATATACAAAGAAAACCTCTTTTTCTGACGACTTAGTGGAAACAGAAGTGCTTTTCGTTTAGTTGTCATTTAATTGAAGCTATTCCAGACGTATGTCCACATTGCTATTCATATTTAAGAAATATATTATAAGTTGATGTAGAATTTTTATATGGAACAGCTGAGTTTATAATTCTAACGATCAGTCAAAATATTAAGATACACACATTTTGAAAACCATACTAAGCAGAAATTCGAAAGGAGAATACGTATTTTACAAAAAGGGGGAGAACATTCAAGGGGGCAATTAAAAATCCTTTATGCAAATGCAATGAAAAAAAATTGTTTCATATGAATTATATATTGTTTGTATTAATTAAATTTTGCTTGCAGGCTTATTACTCTAATTTGCTTTTCTTTTATATGTGTTTAATTCGCTTTCATGTATATACAAAGCTTTAAAATGAAAATAAATATATTTATATATGTGTCTTTTTAACAACAATGAATAAAAATAAATTGAGTAGAATGCAATTTCAAAAATTGAGTTATTTGCATATCCTTATTTACAGATATTAGTTATATTTGGGGTAATTTTCAACTTTTAAAAAAAATATATAATATACGACATATACACATAAGCTAAAACCATATTAAATATCTTTTAATAGTTGTCTGAATAATGTGTATGCCAAATGCATTTCGCTCACTATACACTTGTAATTCATCAAAGTTCGTATCACTCGTACAGCAATAACATTTTAAGAAATCAACAATCCTTCATGATTATATAACATTATTGGATTGTGTGTTAAAAAAAAAATGAAAATGAACGCATAAATCTTTTATATATTAAAGAAAATGTACCATTATTTGTCTTACTATCTTTACATGTTTTTTTTATTATATGCAAAACATCGTAATTAGAATTTTTTAAGTGAAGGGATCTACAAAATCAAAGACTGTCGGAAAAAAGAAATAAATGAGGTAAGAAATTTCCAACAATTTTTTACCCAAAAATAAAGAGGTGGTATGAAGGGAGATTTGGTTGCAAAATTATTCGATAGTACTCGAACAGTCAAAAGTATAAAGAAATATACAAAGCATTTAAGGGGAGTCAATACATTTTCAAGGATGATAACTGTTTATGCAATACTGAACGTACAATGTCCCATTGTAACTAGTTCAGTTTATGCTGACGTCTTAATATATGGTGTTTTTTTCAACATTTACAGAGGCTTCTTCGTATAACTTGAATCTCAATCAAATAAAAAGAGTAAAAAAATATTCCAATTTTTCCAGACTTGGGAACTTAGTCATTCTTCAGCAAAATTTTCAAAAGATAGATGGTATTTATTTTGTGTAGTCAACTCCTACTACACTGTTTTAAAACCATATCCCTGAAACTTGACAGGAATATTGTGTATATATTGAAATTGTACACCTGCTAATATGGAACTGTATGAGCATTTTTTTCTTTTTTCTAGACTTAGGAATTTAGTCATTTTCCAAATAACTAAAGAATAGTATTGAGGAATTTTGAAAGAGAATACAAATTATTGTGTTATCAACTCCTATTGTTTTCAATTCAGATCCCTGAAACTTCTCAGGAAGATTGCATATGTTTTGAAGTTGTGCACCTGCTATTATGGTAATTATTTAAGGATTATTTGTCATTTTTCAAGACTTGAGAACTTAATATTGTTTCAAACAGTAGTTCTTTTTTTGCAGTCAACATTTAGGTACAGTCTATGAAAGATTTTAAAACTTGAAAAACCGTCTTAATCTCGTGTCAATTTATCAAATTTGGAAAAAAGGATAACACCAAAAATACCGAACTCCAAGGAAAATTCAAAACGGAAAGTCCCTTAACAGTAGGCAAAATCAAAAGCTCAAACACATCAAACGAATGGAAAACAACTGTCATATTCCTGACTTGGTACAGGCATTTCCTTATGCAGAAAATGATGGATTAAACCTGGTTTTAAGAAGTTTATGTTTAATATAGAGATAGCCCCGAACAAAATTGCAATTTTGTTTTATAAAATCCTATGCAATCAAGCAAACTTAATTTTTTGATAAGAGTAAGAAAAAGGACATTATATTTTAATCCAATTTTAGTGAATCAAGTGTATTCCTAGAAACTGTTTGGGTTTGACTCAGAGGATAGTAGTCATGACTTTTGAACGATGCGGCCATATAAAGAGTAATACACTACATGGAATTTACGTAGCGTTTACATATACTTTTAATGCCACTACATATACAGTACAAAAAAATATCGCCAATCAGTACATTTCTTACCCAAACCTTTTCAGTACATATAATTATATGCATGTTTTCAGTAAAGTTGGAAAAAAGGTGTAAAATTTTATTCATTTTTCAGTACTGAAAATTTCAGTAATTTTTTAGTGCTGAAAATTTCAGTCATTTTTTCAGTTTTGAAAATTTTTCAGTACATAAATGGAGTTATGCAATGTTTTTGACGTAGATCAGGACATTTTATTTTCTTACGATTAGTTTCACTAGTTATCAAGTTGTTTTTTATAGCCTACCATGCGCTATGATTTTTCATTGTTGATGTTTGTAAAAAACGGAAAAAGAACAATGCAATGAAGACAGCCAAATTCATATAAGCAACAAATACAAAACCAAAATAAAGAGCACCATAACGGTTCTTCAATGTTTGACAGTCCACACCATACAATAAGCTCTGAATGGCTCCGACAAAAATATAAATTAAAGGAATACTATCCAGACGTACAGCACAATGTTAGAATACCGTTTAGTAAACTAAATATATAACTAACTATACAAAGACATATCTATGACCTGCACTCGTCCGACTTGGGACCGAGGTGCATATAAATGTGGCGGGTAAAACCGGTTTTGTCGACGCCTAACGTTAGACATTATGGTTATACCTAGTATCCTTGTTCTGTGGTTGATAGTTGGCAATCATACCACATCTCCTTGTTTTTATAATACAATTAAAACTATAGATTATATATGCAGTCGTCTACCTTAAAATTGTTGATGTATAAGTAACAATGCGGGGTCATAACTATTGATTAGTTACTTTTTTGGACCACTTAAATTGCAATGAAATCTGTAATGTAGTTCACATGTTTCTCCTATAGATAGAACACTTTTCTCTGATACCATGATAATTTGTTATGGTAATAATTTCAAAGTAATTTTAACGAAAGTGCACACATTTCAAGATCTCCTTATAACATAAATCTTCGGTTAGTTTATTCAATTTTAGGATATTACCCTTTATCTAAGCTGCTAAGTAAGACTTAGCTTAAACATATTCTATTGTTCTAAAGGACAAATGGATCAGACCCAATTTTTTACTTCCTACTTGGCTTTTTAGGCCCTTTTGGTCATATAGCTCTTCGACTGTTTCGGGTATTTTACATTCGTGGCTTTCAAATATTCGACTTTGAGCGTTCCTGATGAAGGTAAATCCAGAAAAACGCTTTACACGCATGAAATTAATAACGTGTTGTTTTCATTGTTTAGTAAAGAATAACCTTTGCAGGGAAGTTCTATGAAGTACTCCTTGTAGACGATACCCAAGTTGACACAAAAACCGTACGGATGAAGTTATTGTTGTTATGGATGTATAAATACCCTGCCACGTCTGTTCTGTGGTTTTCTTAGATGTTCTTCTGCTTTGTATCGATCTGACGAGTTTAAAACTTTTTCAACTAACTTTTATAAGTTTGTTCTTATGTTGTGCTGTAACACCACTGGTTAGGGGAGAGTTGAGCACTCACAAACATTCTTTGTGTGCCTGTCTCAAGTCAGGAGCTTGTGGTTAAGTGGTTGTCGTCGGTTCATGTCTGTCATATTTGTTTTGTTATAAATTAGGCCGTTAGTTTTCTCAATTGAATTGTTTCATATTTTTCATGTCAGGGCCTTTTATGGTCGACTATACGGTATGGGTTTTTCTCATGGTTGAAGGCCGTACGATTGCCTATAATTGCTTACATCCATTTCATTTGAACATAGTGGATAGTTGTCTCATTGGCAATTATTACCACATCTCCTTATTTTTATATTCTAATACACCAATTCGGTAGTTTCATCTTCTTTGTATGAAAATACAATTATAATGCTTTAGATTACTTTGCATTTCCCATAGCTGGCTATCGGTTTAAACAAGAAACCAGCAATACCAACACTGGCATTTTTTATTCAACGGCAGGAAATTGAAACCTGAACTTTGGTGTGTATCTTTTGGTTATTTGTGTGGTTTTAGTATTACATGACAATTTTGACAGCAGTAGATGAAGAGCTGAACTAATTTTTAGGGTAGTAAGGCAGAGTCTGGTTGAAATACATAATTTGAATAAAAGGAAATGTTAGTTAAATGCAGGGACTCCCCCTATATTTCATGTGATTTGTTTTATTGTCCCATACATGAATATATATGGTTTAGGGGTGGGGATCCCGACCATTTCCAAGTTCTCAAACAGGAGGGGGTGGGGTGACCCGAGGAACTCCCCATATATTTCACTTGATTTGTTATATTGTCCCATACATGAATATATATGGTTTAGGGGTGGGGATCTTGACTGTTTACAAGTTCTCAAACAGGAGGGGGTGGAGTGTCCCCAGGGACTCCCCCTATATTTCATTTGATTTGTTTTATTGTCCCATACATGAATGTATATGGTTTAGGGGTGGGGATCTCGACCATTTCCAAGTTCTCAAACAGGAGGGGGTGGAGTGTCCCCAGGGACTCCCCCTATATTTCATTTGATTTGTGTTATTGTCCCATACATGAATGTATATGGTTTAGGGGTGGGGATCTCAACCATTTCCAAGTTCTCAAACAGGAGGGGGTGGGACGACACCGGGGACTCCCCCAAATTATTTTCATTGATTTCTTTTATTGTCCCATACAAGTATATATATTGCTTAGGGGTGGGGATCGCGACGGTTTACAAGATAAAAGTACATTTTCAAATTGAAGGGGGTTGGGTTTTTTTATTGTCCTGTTCTCATTACTGAAGACTGCATGTGTCTATCACTTACTTCGAGAAATAGTCATTTGAAAATTTAAAAAAATAAAATCCCATAGGGTTCTTTAGTAAACCCCTCCCTTCTTCAGGCCCCTCTAATACCCCTAAATAGACCCCAATGCACAAACAAAAGATTAATGGCTCTGCTAGACATGTTAGTCTAATAATTTATGAAACCCTTAGTAAATCTGACAAACGGTCAAAGTTGTCTTCTTAGACGGTTTGAGTGGATTCGGTCCGACTTGTCTCGGGGACGACTTGTCCACATTACTTAAAACATCCCATCAACGTCGATTTCCGCATCTGTTGCATGACCTGGTTTCATTCATAAAATAACAACAACCTTATTTAGCAAGATAAGTTAAAAATTACCGCCCACTTATATAACTTTATTTCCTCTATCATTGAGATTTGTTGTACATGAACAATATTCCGCGCATTTTGCCATTTGGGAAATATAAACGACTTGTAATTACCTTTTTTTCGGCGATGAAATATTTCATACAATTGTTCTTTAACATCGTAGCCAAAAGCACAGGGGATAATAAACTACGTACGGATTTCTATTGAGCACTACTTCCTATGTGCAACTTCAAAAGTTTTGGGTAGTTCGACGATCATTTAAGGTTTTTCTGGTCATATTTTAGAATTCCAGAAATAAAGTATTACAAAAATGTCCAATTAGTTATAAATAACATAAAAGCCAGCTAGATAATAACAATGGCACGTATTTCAGCATTTATTGGGTAGAACACAAATCTAGGGTGCTTGCATAAGGCAGCTTAACTGCCTAAAAACTTATCATTGACCAATGAACTGTGTAAATGAGGTAAAGATGTAACCTGACTGACGGACATGTACACCTTACAATCATTCCATACACCAAATATAGTTAACCTACCGCTAAAAGTATCTGAGAAGTGGACCTTATAATGTTACTTTAAACTTGATCATTGATCCGTGAAATGAGGCCGAGGTTAGGTCCTATTACTAATAAGTGAGAAATTCACATATAAAAAAAACCTTTATTTTCAAGCAGTCGCTGAACCATGAAAATTAGGTCAAGGCCAAAAGACATATGACAGACATTCGTAATATAAGGCATATGTTCACATGGTATGAAACCTACGGGTCAATTACCATTCAAAATTAAAGCTCAATACAAATATTTTTACCGCAGGATTGTTATCCTTATGTTTTGCATGTCGCAGGAGACACAATAAAACCAAGTAGGCAAGCAAATGTGTGACAGGTGTAGAATTTCATGTACACCAATAACTCGCATGATGGATGATACTGGTATTATTGTTGATCAATTTTGAACCAAACAAATAACCTATGGAAAAAAGTCTTACTTGCAAAAGACAGAAATGAAAGATATGAATTCTTTTATGAAAGTTTTGTTAATCTTCTCATAATTTAATCTTCTAAGAATAGTTACTCAAATATTCAAGTGAATGTACCAAGCTAGGAACCTTCCCATTGGTTAGCTCATGTCAAAACTTCGTATTTAAAAAAAAGTTGTTGTATGGGAAATTTTGTGTTGATATGGTTTTTATTTATCTTATTCACAACTTTTTAAGACTCCTGACAATTGCGAGCATGGTACATGTAT